ACGCTGTGAGGAAGGTGATATGTTCCCGGGCTTGCATGTCTCGGCGAGGCACACGGGCGTGTTCAGACTGCCAGGGGCGCAGTACATTCATGCAGAGCTCGATGCTGTGCATGCCCATCATATCTCACTCTCATCGACATCCCCGGGCGCCCATATCCACCAGCAGATCGTTTCGTGAACAGCTCGTCCAGGCGTGCACTTCGCTCATGCTCGCTCATGTTGAGTGATGGGCAGTAGCAAATGTGGTTGCCAGCCCTGGACCTACGCAGCTCGCATCCTGGACACATCCTAGTCACAACTCAGCCGCCACACGATCTAGAGTTGTCGACTTAGGCTTGGGCGGTTAGGCATTTCGCGTCCATGATATATCACGTCGCGTTTCATTGCATCATATCAGAAACACGGAGACCGGCCTCCATATGCGATACCCTGCTCTCTCCTCCTGTCCTTGCGAAGCCACTGCTCTGCCTCTCTCGTCTCTGCTCTCTCATACCTTACTGACTCTGTTCCCTCTCTAGTCCACGACTCCTACTCTCCCTATGCCCGCCGCTCCTTTTCCCGTCACTCCTTCGACAGCCCGCCTGCCTGTTGCGGACCACAAGCCCACGATCCCAGCACGGCCTTCAGTCGCCTCACGCCGTCAATCCACAACTGCCAGCTCCTTATCGCCTACCCGTCTCTCCCGACCGCTGCGCTCCTCTCCGCTCGCCGGCCCCTCCATCGCTGCTCTGACTGACGATGCGCTCGCTGGAAGCGCAAGCGCACCTCCCACTCCTGGCGGGGGTGTGAAGCATCTTTCACCCTTGGCTGAATTCTCTACTACTGCACCGGCGGAGACAGGCTCCGTGTCCGCTGCTGAGACCAAGAAGCAACGCAGGCGTACTTTGGGTGCCGTCTTCTCCAAGCTGAGCTTCGCTGCGTCGCCGGGAGAGTCGGCATCCGAGCCTTCGTCGCCAACGATTCCTGAGACCCCGGGACGGAGGCGCGCGAAATCCACGACCTCGCATGAAGCCCCGCCAGTACCTCCCCTGCCTTCATGGGCTCACAGCAGTATGCCAGGTCGTGTTCGACCCCCATTCAACGTGCATTCCTCTTCCTCGTCATCGCGCGCATCTTCCTCGTCTCTCCACGCAGGCTCAAAGTCATCCCGCCCTACCTCCCCTACACCTAGCGCCCGCTCTGCGGGTTCTGCAACGAGCTCCATCAGGCAAGAGAGGGACCCGCGGCGCGCGTCCTTCCGACCGCCTCCCTCCACTTCACGCCGGCCTGAGGAAAACTGGCTGACCCAGTCCGCTGCGCCGCGCTTCTCCCGACTTGGCTTGAAAGCGGAGGGCGTGGTACTGCCCGTCTCTGCGCGCGAAGCTAAGCGCCGTTCCACCGCGTCGCTCGCGAGCAAGACGCGGTCGTTCGACACCCTCCCGCCCCCTCCGATGCCCGCGCGCACGCCTTCGCGCGCGAGCACGTCGTCGATGGGCTCGCCCCCTTCCCCTTTGGCCGTGCGTCCGAGCACCGCTCCGGCACACCAGCAGCGCTTCCGTTCGCGCGCGTCGTCTCGCGCGTCCCTCGCATCCGCCGCCTCCGGCCTGTCGATCGATTGCGATACGCCGAGCTTGACGATGAGCTGTGGGCCCTCCGCGAGCGACGTCTCGCTGGGCACAGCCACGGAGGTGGACGAGATGGGGGCGCTGACGAGCCGCGTCGAGTTCCAGCTCAACGACGTGCCTGTGGGCGTGCTCGCTGTCCCTGTGCCCTCGTACAAGGGGAAGGGCAAGGAGCGCGCGGTTGATCTGGCGGTGGAGGTTCGGGATACGGACGGAGGGACGTTTGCGCCCTGGATGCGCGCCGGAGCGAGCCCGACGCCGTCTGGTCTCTCGTCTGCTGCGAACTCCGTGGTCGACCTGAACGCTGGTTCGCGGGCTGTCCATGCGCGCTCTGCGACTGCGCCTGACTTGTATGTGGCGGAGGGTGCAGGCAAGGATGGCGCGAAGACGAAGCGGACGCACACGCTCGGGCGCGTCTGGAGGCATGTCATGCGCAGCGTCACTTCTCGCCGGTAGCAGCCCATGCGTCAGGCGGCGGCCTCCACATAACCTGGATATCCGGAGGCCGCCTTCGATACCCGCATACGACACTTATGCATCGTACACGTAACTTATTTCCGGGGAAGTAGAACAAGAGTGTCAAAAGGTTGTTGCAGTTTGTAGTTGACGAGCGCGGATACATGAGTCGTGGATGAAACTGGGAGCTCGGACAATATCTATCCTAATATCTGTTGTTGGTCCTCCTGTAGATTTGTAATACATCGCCCTCGATCTATATGATCGCATCTAACTCATCCCAGCAACCCACCTGCACTGCACTCTGCCTACTCGCGGTTAGTGGGCTGGTCAAAGAACTCCTGGAGCACTCGCCCGAGGATCGGGATGCCAGCCGCCATGGCATCCTCGGAGCCCGCAAAGGTCCCTCTCAAAAAGTTGGAACGCTGGAACACAACGGGTGTGAGAGGAGCTCCGAGACTGCAGATGTCTAGTACCCACATCATCAATAGGAGTGGGGACGTCGTCGTAGCGAGGATCGGCACGTAGCATAAAGACCGAGGAGGGGCAGATGACGAGTCCACCCGCGATGCACGCTTCAAACAGCTCCGTCATCAGCGCTGAGGTATTCGTTCGTGCCACGACTCCAGTGGCGGCTTCTTGTGCAAGGCCCGCCTTGAAACGCGGGTGCTTGTCGATGTGGACCCGGATCCAGACGAACATCCCTGCCTCAGGAACGTAGGTACTCGCCAGCCCGGTACTCGCAACCTCGCGCTCAAAAAGGTCTAGGAAGAAGTCGCGGCGACGCTGGTAGTCTGCGCGCAGGCTGCGCACCCACTTGTCGAAGCCGCTCAGCTGCCACCCGTGCGGACCGAGCAGTTCGGTGACCAAGACCTGGCCGAAGCCGCTCGGGTGCTGGGTGGAGAGATCCGTGTATTTGACGAGGAACTCGCGGAAAGAGGGGCTGCTCGTGATCCACCCGAGCCGCATGCCTGGCGCCATGATCTTGCTGAAGCTAGGGAGAGAATACGTGAGGGTTCAACGACTGTATAGCGATGGATAGGCTTACCTGTCGATGCGGATCACGCGCCCATCCACGTCCATGGATAAGAAGGATTCGGGGAAGTGTGACGTAGACTTATCGTACTGTAGGAAGTAGTACGGATCTGAGGAGTCGTGATTATGTTGAGTCGTCTGGCAGTGACCGAGAAGCACGTACCATCCTCTATGATGACCAGGTCATAGCGTCGGGCGATGTCGTATAGCTGCTTTCTCCTTGCGACGCTCAGCGTCGAGCCGGTCGGGTTCTGACCACAGCTAGGAGTATGAGTCAGATAATGGCATTCTAGGCGATGTTCCGGAGACGTGTTGGGATACCCACGGCACGGAGTATAGAACATGGGGCCGACGCCCACGTTCCGGATTCCAGCTCGCCAAGATACGCTCCAGCTCTTCTGGGACGATACCACCCGAGTCAATCGTCACAGGCACCCACTTCACACCGTGCGCCTCAGCGGCGATGGGCATGGGTGCGAACGTGAACTCGTCCGCCAAGAAGTAGTCGCCTGGCGCGCCGAGCATCCGGAAACACTTGGTGATCGCATCCGCGTTGCCCAGAGTCATGGTCGGAACGTGGTGTGGGGCACGGTGGTAAGCCTTGTTGATCTCAGCGACTGTTCTGAGCGCGTCCGCGAGGCCTGCGCCGTGTCCATACTGGAGAGACGACCTGAGGAGACGACCGGACTCTTCGTCCTGAGCTGTGCTCAGAACTTGCGTAGCAGCGGCGCTACCCAATGCTCTCCAGTCCGCAACTGGGTCGACGCCAGCCACGGAAGCGACCTCATAGTCTATACGACGGATCGGATAGAGCGTATGATGAGGATCACCTATAGGGAGAGACATATCAGCCAAGTGTTCGTTGTTCTACTCGTTAGCTGCTCATGGTATACCGTTCGCGAGTGACACCAGATGCGGGTTCTCGAGGGAGATGCGGATGATATCTTTGAGAGGGTTGGTTCTGCGTACCAACGTCTCGGGAGACAGGTGGTGGGTCAGGTCTATGAAGGGAGCAGCGTCCATTCTTCAGGAGATGGTCAGCTACTGGGTATGTGGGCTTGGAACGGGGTTGAGCAGACGAACCTTCGCTGCGTAGGAATGAAAGTGGGTGATAGTGATACGATGGGAGGGTCTCGGGAGGTTCCTCTGACTATACAGTCCCATCTCTTACGTGGATAGGTCAGCCTTTCGCGTGAGCGTCGAGTCACCTTGGTGCGAACTCATGAACCGCCGAATGAAATGTCGATCATCGGGGCGAGGAGCGGTCCGTCCTGACCGAAAGTGCGTTCGATTTCCACGGGCATTTGGAAGAACGCCAACGGTAGACGCATTCGTCGCATCGATACTTGACGATGACGCGAGAGTAGCTGCCAGACGTCGAAGACAACATAGACTGAACAATCCTGCGATTCTGGCAGCTCCCATGCAGGTGCGTGACAGCACTGGACCGGACCGCACCTCGGACGGCCGTACTAGGGGCTGAGCTGTCAGGGTTACCAGACACCCTGGTCATAGATCTTGCAGGCCGTACGGCACAAACAAAAGGCATCCCACGTTTGCAGTTGTGAGTGGTTCCATGCGTCGTGGATAAGGCAATCCATACGTTACGCAGCTAGCAGGTCTGGCCGCGGTCATAGAGAGGGGACATAGGGGTTATATAGTCCAAGTAAGAGTCGGGTGGAACTGAGGCGAGGGCTTGTGTCTCTGAGATTGATTTTCGAAGCCACGCCGGGTATCCCAGACCCGGCGATCGTCCGCTTCTGACAGTGAGAGTGAGGTTGAAGGGGCCAAGCTCCAAGAGTCAAGACGTTCGAGGTCACCGTGGATGAGCTCGCACCGCAGCTTAGGGTGTACAGTACTAATAGAAAGTGCTTGCTTCATATTAAGATATTGCTTCCAAACGAACAAGACTACCTGGCGCAATGGTAGCGCGTTCGGCTTCGATCGCCGGCCGGCTGCTGACTAAGGCCGTCACGTGACGTGTCAACCGAAAGGCTGCAGGTTCGAGTCCTGCGGTGGTCATCTTTTTGGCTCTTTTTCCCGCCATCCTCGACGATGAGCAACGAGCCCTCCACGAGCAAAGGAACAACGACGACATGCTGCCGGGTTCTACGCGAGAAGAGCGAGATTGTGAGCGTTCATGCGGCATGGTCTGGGTAAATTCCAGGACGGCGTGAAACATAGGACGAGACCGCATACCTTTGACTGCAGATGCCAGGACATGCGCAGGACAAAGTTCCCGCCATCGCTCCAGAGTTCCGCCTGAAGTGTGGCAGCTCTTCCTCGATACGGCGAGAATCTCTGAGGGACAGGGCCCATCTGCTTGTGAGAGGGTGATAGACAAATCTCTTGCACTCTAGTGGGCGGTCCACTTGAGCGAAGACGAAGACTACCCGATTCTTGGGATTAGCAACGCGGAAGAGTATAGGAGGGTGCGTTCGCGCACCTTCGGAATCTAGAATGAGTCTTGTGTCTGGACCGGAAAGGAGAGATGCCAGGGGTCATAGGAGGCGGCGCACTCCAATGAAGCTAGGGGTGTCGGCCTCGTCCTGCGTCTTATAAGAATCCCTGGCGCACCCTCTGCCAGTGCTCGCCCCGCTACGACGACATCGCGTAAACCCAGGCGACGGTCATCACAACTGTCCCTCAAAGGACGCAAGGCATCATGCCATTCCTCCTGATCCGCCCGCCGGAGGACTGGGCGACGGGTGGCGGTCAGTAGAGTTCATATAGAGCTTAGGGGTTAGATGTCACCATGATTCTGCAGAACCTATGACGGCCTCTCAGCAGGGCAAGCTATGGGGTTTCCACAAGAGCACCGGCGTCGACATCCCGTTCGTCGACTACCGGCGTCTTGCGAGGGCCAGGCAGCGGGTGACGAAGGCGGAGGCCTCCATCCTGATCAGCATGTTTGAAGACGGCCTGCATCCGAGCGATGCGTACGTCGCCTCCCTGGGTCGGAGCACGGAACCTGTGAGTGACTGACCCTTTCCTATACCTTGTTGGATGCGTGTTGACGCGCCTGAGCTAGTACGAGCCGCTGCCGCATCCGCAGTTCTGGTTGCATCGCGACGACCCGCCGAGTGACATGCAGCTCGCATGGCTCGGTATCTTGATCGCCAAGATGCATGTCCCCAAGGACGTCATGCAGCAGCTCCTGGCTGGCGTCACCTTCGGGCAGGCGTCGCTGCTCATCGAGATCCTGAGGAAGCGGAAGGGGTCCTATTGGTCGGTTGAGAGTGGCATTCGGGCCCTCAGGCGCTTGCTTGAATGGGTACGGACGCAACTGCCATTGGGGGGCGAGGACGAGGGCGAGTTCGGTGAAGTGGAGGCGGAGGAGGACGCGCATGTTGTAGGCAACGCTTTCGCGCCTATCATGGCTCCAGAGGCTGTCGTCAAGGAGGAACTGAAGGAAGAGCTGAAGGAAGACTTCGTGCTGTAGCTCGCGTCACATTGGAGAGCGCGGTAAAGGCGAAGGTAGAGGTGAGGCAGTGCAGGAGAGTTCATTGCGATGTCCTTGAGATGTACGACACGTGTATGATCAGTGGCTCCTGAGATATATGATTCAGAGCGCTGTCCTGCAGATTCAACCGGTCGAGAATTAGTACCTGCGCCCAAGTGAGTCCAGACAACCGCAAACAACTATTCCCGCTGTGCGCGGAGTGAGCCGACAGCACAATCGAACGATCGTGCAAGTGGTAAGCCTCCGTTTCAAGCACGGTTCGACCTAATCTTCATGGCAGTCTGAAGCAGCGTTACGTGCAAATCAAATGAGACGCAGGCAGGAGAGACAAGCCGAAGCGCGCTCAGCTCGGGTAGACGGATTGGCAGATCTGTCGAACCTGACAGCCCGTCGTACCGTAAGCTACGTTTTCACGACCGGTGCCGCTGCGGGAAGACGTATGACGTGTCCGTATCGTCCCGAGCCTACACCGCAGAAGGCTTGGACTCACACACACCGCCCCCAGTTGCCCTGAGGCTCCCTCGCGGCGGGAGTGCGCCCCTGCGGTACCGTCCCCACCTACGCTCACCATTGCTCCACACCTGCCCGCGATGGCTACGCTCCATGAGTTCGTTATCCCGTGGTGGCCGCCCAGTGAGTGGGCGACCGGGACAGGTATGCGCAAGTCGACAAGCCTTGCAGTGCTATCGCGAACAGAAGACTGATCGACGGTCCACAGACGACATGACCCAAGCGCAGACGAGAACACTCACCACCCTCGCTGAAGACTGTGGTCTTGACATCGCCATGTTCACCCAGGGGAACGAGGATGGAAGGAGGCTCAGCAAGGTGGAGGCAAGCAAGCTCATCGCGGCACTGCTGCTCGGCGCGATACCTACCCAGGAGCAGATCGAGGAGCTGGGGAACGCCCCTCCTGTGGTACGCGATCGCCGCGATTGCACCTGGTAACGGTCACTGAGAACCGTCATTTGACGTCGCCGCAGAGAGAGTTTCCTCATCCGCGGACGTGGAGTACGCGCAACGCAGATCCCACCGAGAAACAGACGACTTGGCTGGTCGACTTGATCGGCCGGCTGAGCGTCCCGGACGACACCATACGGGATACCCTGAGGACGCTAACCCGGGGACAAGCATCCCTGCTGATCACGGCACTCTTGAAGCTGAGGGAGGGCGGAGGATATGCGTTGTCGCCAGAGAAGAGGCGGACGTCGTTCGAGGAGGCACTGGAGGCTGTCCGAGTGGAGTTGCCAGCCGGAGAGTAGTGCCATCACTAGAGGGCGCGGCTTTCGAGTGGACTGTGAGACGAAGAGATCGAGGCAGAAGTGACGTAGCAGAGCGAGCGGGTTTGGGACATCGAGATGGGATATCGCAGGCAGTGAGCGCTGGGAGCTTCACATATGTTTTCGTCCCGGGCGAACGAGCGTCAATCGACAGGAGAGTCGGAATTCAATCAGCTAGAAGCCTGCGCTGCGCCCCGGGGAATGGAAGATACGCTGGCTAGTCTATCACCAGGTGCTGAGCAAGCAGAGAGGCACAGAGGAAATCTCCTTCCCGGGCTCCCCGATTGGCCGCGTATCCTGGGGAGGGGCTTGCTAGCGCGTTTTGGAGGTCTAGGAAAGCTGAGCCGATGGTGCATAAGTACTCAGTTGCAGACGATCCCCTGTAGCGCACGCCCCGCTTTCCGCTCCTCACCACACGACTCCCGATCCTATACATCTTCCGCGTTCTATTCGATGGAGTTCATCCCGTTGAGGCCGCCGGAAGAGTGGGCCACGGGAGGCGGTGAGTGGATGGGCCGCTGTATCGTAGAAGACTGAAGACGCTGACCTGGTGCCTGCCTGCCTCCAGAGCCGATGACGGAGAGACAGGAGAACGCGCTGTGGAGGCAGAGCGAGCGCTTTGGGATCGATATTCCCTTCCTCTCGCAGCCAGACAGCAATGGGCAGCTGGTTACGAAGGCGGAGGCGTACAACCTGATCGCGTTGATGTGGGATGACATACGGCCGTCAAAGGCATATCTGGCTTCACTGGGGCGTGACCGCGATCCGGTGAGTCGCTGTCGTGGTTACACATGCGTGGCCAGGCGTTCATACGTTCCGGACGTCCAGGGCAACCCACGGCCGCACCCGCGCGAGTGGAGATACTGCCACTCCCCAATGACGGAGATGCAGATGGTCTGGCTCGCGTTCCACGTAGGGGCGTCGCATTGGAGAAGCGAGCTGGTGGACCTGACGCGCGGCCAAGCGTCGCTGCTCATCGCGATCCTGAGAGAAGAAAAGAAACGCGTGAGCAGAGGGTTGGGGAGCGGCGAGTCGTTCGACCTGGAGCAAGCGGTGCAAGATGTGCGGAGGGAGCTGCCTGCCCAGGAGGGCAATAGGACAGGGTTCGAGCGAGAGATTGCCTAGGAGCTCCGGGCTCGTGGAGGAAGACTAGGTAGCCAGAGGGGAGGGGTATGTTCGCTATGCACTAGGTAGCAGCGAGAATCCATACGAGTCCATGAGCGACGAGGATTAGTGTCTGCGAGTTGTGTAAGACCTGCTCCAGGGATGCTTGGTCGTCTCCAGCCTGGGGTTTGTCAGCGGAAGACGCGTTGTTTATCATCAAGACCTGGTGTAGAGTAATCACTCGCCAGCTTCGCAATTCGATCGGGGTGCGCACTTTGAGAATGCATGTGCGCCAGTCGCGCGCATCGCAGAGATTTCGGGGGCGGTGGACGATGTGCTCGGCATGAGAAAGCGCGTTCCTGGGATGCAGCAGCTGACCAGCGCACGACAAGCTCCGGGCGGCGAGGACGAGGACGAGGGTGGCGAGCGGGCGGGAGATGACGGCGAGCGTGGATCCGAGAGCAGAGAGCAGAAAGCACATGGCCCCCGTCGACGTTCCGAACCGGAGCGTCGGCTACGCCCGCCCCAGCGTACAACACATACATAACCCCTCCTCGTCGTCGCTCGCGACATCCCACACTCGACTGACGTCGACCTCGACCACGCGACCGCCCTTCTTCTCTCGTCCAACACAACTCCTCACTCGTCGACCTCTTCCCACCGCGCACTCCCCTACTTAAGCCTTCATGTCCCTCGCCCTCCGCCTGCGTGCCCCTCTCTCCTCTACCACCGCCGCCGTCCTCCGCAACCAGCGCGCGTTCAGACAATCTGCACTCCTCAGCGTTCGCCTCATGTCTACCGAATCGCAGCAGAAGCAATACGAGTTCATTCTCACCTCGCGTCCCGCGGACGGCGTCGGCCTCATCACCCTCAACCGCCCCAAGGCCTTGAACGCGCTCTCTACGCCCCTCTTCACCGAACTCAACGATGCCGTGAGGGCCTTTGACGAGGACGACAGCATTCGTGCTCTGGTCCTTACTGGATCTGAGCGTGCGTTTGCCGGTGAGTCGCTGTGTAGATCCGCGGTTAGGAGCACGCGGGCTGAGAATGCGGGGTAGCGGGTGCCGACATCAAGGAGATGAAGGACAAGCAGTGTGGGTACCGTCTAACATGTGTATGTCGGCGCGAACTGACAACTCCGTGCAGTCTCGGACGTGTTCAAGAACAAGTTCCTT